GGTTAGAAAAGGAACTTAAGGAGGCTATCGGAAAAGAAAATGAGATAAAAATAGAAGTGTTAGACTTGAGGGAATAGAGGCAGACAAAGCTGATTTAGAGGGATTAGATGACTCAACAGTTGACAATAACACAAAGATTCTGAAGGCGAGCATCCTGTCCATGCACGCTTTTACATGGACAGCAAACTGGACGTTATCCAGGACACCCTAGACCAGATCATGAAGGCCATGTATAGGCCAGGTTTCAGGCCAGCAGTTTTGCCATCACTGCAATGGTCGGCGATGACAAGCTCGTATCCACCTCAGTGTGGTACCACACCAAGCGGTACTTTAGCAGCAGCAGCATAGACTGTTGCTTCTACCTTCTCTGGTCCCGCAACAGCTGCCAATTGCCCCACCAACGGGACAACAAAAACCTTGGTACCCCAAGACCTTATTGAAACCACCCTCAACCTTCTTAGGGGATAAGAAGGATGAGGCTCTCAGCACTTGGTTGAGAACGGTGCCTGTGTGGGTGAGGGTGAAGAGGACGTTGGTAGAGGAGGAAGTGCTAACTGCTGCATCCTATCTAGAGGGTTTGGCAACTCGCTGACTAAATGGATTAGTTGCCTCAAAGGGAATCGGCAGGAATATGGGTGATTGGGCCAAAACCCGTACCCTAGAGAGCTCTATGGATTTGGTGGAAGCACGAAGGCACAACCCACAACAGGCACAGACTGCCACTGATTGGTTGACCCGGCTTGATACAAAGAAGTACCAAGTCCGTGCGCGAGCTCACCTCTGCCGTCGAGCGCCTGATTGTCGTCCCCGGGGTACGCTATGATCCATAGGTTTACTGATCATGTTTTTGAGATATCTTCCCACAGACATTAAAAACTTATTAGCCAATGAGGCTCGACTAGAGTATCACACCCTTGAGACGTAGAGAAAAAAGGCTCTAGATTTGGAGGCCACGCTCGGAGGTGCTCAACAACTGCCTACACACGAAAGAAAGAAGAAGAGTCCACAAGAGTGGAAAAAGGGGAGTCGATTGATGATGGTTGAGGGCAATGGTACTCAAACCGAGATTGACGACTTTTCAAACTTGGTGGATGGTTCAAAGTTAGACAATGAGGATAGTGCTTAGTGTAGCAACCTCGCTGCTTTGGTAAAGGGTAAGGTAGGTGGCCGCGGCAAGGGCGATCAACATAGGAGTTAGGGGCAAACCCGTAACCCTTAGTAAACAACAACTTGGGTTAGAGCGGGTTTGGATCAAGTTGTATGGCGGGACCGTTATACGAGGGGTGCTTGCATTAATTGCGGCGAGTGTCACCAACGACAATTCAAATGCAATGACGCACAGGTGTCGCAGAAGATACCACCTAAAGGTGGGATTCCGTTTTTCCAGGGTCGGGCTACTACGTGTTCCAGCTTGGGAAACACACAGGGCAAGTAGAAGTTGTAGCTGCTTCTACTCGTGTTGAAGCGGGTGATGTACCCTCACTGTTTCAAGAGTTGAGCGAAGCTATTGACTCCTTAGTTACCCCACAGACTCATCCTTACCCAACGGTACTCTATTCGATGGATATGTTTGAGGCCTTAAAAGACCTACAAGTGAGTGGTCGTGAGTCCTGGGTGGCATTAAGTCGAGGTCCTAGAGGGGAGCACTTCGTTGTGGACGTTGGTGTAGGTGGCCGCAAGTCTGGTGCTTCGTAGACATTGCCTCCAACCGAAACTTTATAAGTCGCGACTGCGTTGAGACACTACGCCTACATGACTGGGTGCATCGCCTGAGTAGATCGGTAGCAGCCGCAAGTCCGGTGCTTCGTAGACATTGGCTCCATGCGAAACTTTATAAGTCGCGATTGCGTTGAGACACTATGCCTACATGACTGGATGCATCGCCTGAGTAGATCGGTAGCATCTACTTTGGCCAAGAAAGAGCGCATGTTGGTGGAGGATTACGTCAAGAACGTGGTCTGCACTTTCTCCTATGGAGGAGGGGAATTTAGTCACAAGATTTCGTTCGTGGTTAGCGATGACTTATCGCTTGAGGTGTTGTTAGGTATATACTACCTTGAGGTTGCCAAGCCCCAGTTTGATTGGGACAAAAAAAGTGCTGAAGCATGAGTTGCCTAATGGGAGGACCGATAGACTAGCCAAGTATAAGGCTAGTAGGTTAATTGACTCCTACGGGTGCTTGTGCGCATCAGCCTTCTACAATTATTATAAACATAACCAAGAGGAGGGTATGTACCTGGTTTTTGTCTTTGAGAAAAGGGAGGCCGTTAAATCACCCCCAGAGATAGAAAATGTCGTTGCTAAGTACCCTGATCTGTTTGAGGAGCTCACATGTGTCGTAAACAGGGAGGTTGTCCATGCCATAGAGATCATCCCTGGGAGCAAGATACCCAAAGGGATAATCTATAGGATGGCTCTGACCGAGTTGGACGAGCTCCATTGGCAACTGAAAGAGCTCACATAAAAGGGTTGGATACGCCCTAGCATCTTCCCCTTCGGCTCACTAGTTCTATTCGTCCCGAAGAAGGGGGGATCACTAAGGATGCGCATTGATTATCGGGGCCTCAATGCCATCACCGTTAAGAACACAGAGGCCCTACCACACATCGATGACCTATTGGATAGGGTGCAGGGATGTAAGTACTTTACCAAGATTGGCTTGAAATCCGCCTGCCATCAGATTGCCATTAGATTGGAAAACCAGCACAAAACCGCATTTCAGACCATGTATGGTTTGTACGAGTTTGTGGTGATGCCCTTCGGACTTTGCAATGCATCGGGTACATTCCAGCACGCCATGAATAGGATCTTTAATGACTACTTGGATAAGTTTATCGTCGTGTACCTAGTAGGAGAGGTGGTTAATGGAAGGTCCAAAATTTTGCGGATTTTAGCGAATTTTTCACCGAAACTGCCATATTTCTCCGAAGTTTTACTTTTTTCTCGTTTTTATTTTTTCATCTGATATGTGTGTGCTTTAGGGTATATTTGTATACAGTTTCGCCATATTTGGACAAGTTTCGCCGAATTTTGGGCCTCCCATTAACCGCTAGTGCCTAGTAGGATTGTAGAGGAGCATGCTCATCATGTAGACAAAGTACTCTCTCTCCTCCGGCAACACAAGTGTAAGATAAGTTTCGAGAAATGCGTGCACGAAAATCTTGTATTTGGGTATCTGCGTAAGGGGTTAGGCCTGAAGATGCGAAGGTGGCTAGCATTAGAGACTGGCCACGATCCCAGTCTGTGACTGAGGTCAGATCATTCTTGGGGATGTGCGGTTATTATCGCAATTTTGTAAAAAATTATAGTATGATTGCGTCTAGCTTGACTGATCTAACGCGCCTTGACACACCATGGGAATGGACAAATGCATGCGAGGCTGCTTTCAAGAGATTGAAGCATGCCCTCACACATTACGAGGTTCTCATCATCCCAGATCCTCAAAGGCCATTTGTCGCGACCATTGACGCAAGACAATATGACATTGGCGCAGTGTTGGCTCATCAGGAAGGGAAAACGTTAAGGTCGATTGAGTACATGACCAAAAAGATGCCATTGAAGAAGTTAGCGAAGTCCACCTACGAAGGGGAACTTTACGCCCTCTATAAGGCACTTATCCACTGGAGGCACTATATGTTGGGAAGGTTCTTCTATCTGAGAACTGATCATTAGACCCTTAAGTGGATCAAGACATAACCTGTTCTCTTTGATGCACTCAAACGTTGGATTGAAGTCATAGATCAGTATGACTTCAAGCTAGACTACGTGTAAAGAGAGGATAACAACGGTGTTGATGCGATGTCACGCAGGGCAGACTACCTAGGTGCGCTGATTATCGAGTTTGGCTTATCCGACAATGTAAATTGATCCTTGGTACAAGCCTATAAGGAAGACCCTTTCACGATGGACATCATTCACAAACTTGAGGCCCAGGAAAGACCACAACTGATGAGTTTGTGATGGTGGATGGGTTGCTCTTTCTTGAGAAAGTCGGGTTCAAGAGATTAGTTGTTCCATCTAGAGAGAGTTTGCGTAGTTTATTTTTAGGAGAGTGCCGCAATGCAACTGGACACTTTGGCTAGAAGAAAATTAGTTCTAACTTGGTACAACGATTCAGGTGGCCTAAGATGCTTGAGGAAGCGAAGACAGATGTGCAGACTTGTCAAGTCTGTCAGGGGACAAGCCGTAGACTCAAGCCCCGCTTGGGTTATTAACGCCCCTACCCATTCCTGCTGGTCCGGGACAGTGTTTCCATGGATTTCATCGATACCATTGTGACCAGCAAGAGTCGCAAGAGGCATATCTTCATCATAGTTGATTGGTTCACTAAGTACGCTAGACTAATTGCCATGCCAAAGATTGCCAGGATTGAGCACGTCATCAATTTGTTCATGGATAGCTGGGAGCATGATTTTGGACTGCCAACGACAATTGTTAGTGACAGAGATGTGGAAAAAGGCCACTGAACAGATGTCCGGTTCACCAGCGAGATGTGGAAAAAGGTCACTAAATAGATGGGCAGCCAACTCCAAATGACGTATGGAATCATCCCGAAGCCAACGGGCAGGCTGAACAGATAAACCGTGTGGTGGAGCATCTACCGAGGCAGCCAGGATGAGTGGGATGAGAAGTTTTCTCTCATCGCCAGTCAGTACAACAATGTTGTACATAGCACCACTGACATCAGTCCTAATCAGCTGCATTTGGGGTGGAAGCCTACGTCTGCTCTAGACTTCTCCAGGCTGAAAATCGAATTGCTGCAACCTTTGGAACCACAGAGTTTTGTATCTAGTATGAGACGTTGTTGCAGCAGACTGTCGAACACATCAAGAAATCTCAGGAAGCAATGATTGCTTATGAGAACAAGCATCGTCGACAGTCCACGTTTCAGGTAGGGGAAAGTGTCTGGGTCAAGGCTAGTGAGTTGGGGCAGGAGTTTGGCATCTCTAGAAAACTAATGCCTCAGTATTTCGGTCTCGGGGAAGTCTTAGATATTGTGGGTAGTGATTTGGATGGTCCCTTGTACGTGATTCGAATCCCTGGTCACCTATGCACTTACCCTGTGTTTCACGCCTCAAAGCTTGCACCTTTCGTTGAGAAAACAATTCCCATCAAGGAGATCAATGCTGCCCCCAACCATGGATGGTCACGTGGACGTTGACAATATCCTGGAACATAGAGACATGCTTGTTCCCAAGCCAGCTGGCCGAGGAAGACCACCTAAACGTGTGAGAGACTATAGGGTACGGTTCAAGTATCATACTGATCCTAAGGAAGATCGATGGTTCACAAGAGAGGAACATGTCAACACAGCTCCTCAGATCATGGCCGAGTACGAACGAAGACTGAAGGGGAAGGCACCAACACGAAGCATCTCGGCGGACTTTCGAAGCTAAGGGGGATGTAATGCGAGGAATGAGCCCTCGTAGGGCCCTTGTCAGACGTGCACATGTTATGGGTTGAGGCCCTCATCAAGCCCTGTGCCCGCCGTAAGTGAAGGCGGGCCTGAATATGCACCAGAGGCCAAAATTTGACATTTTCCATATGTGGGTATTCAGGCAGTTGCAGCACGCCAGTTGGTTGAGAGGAAGCGTGAGCCTCCCTGTGCTGCGACATATAGTTGGGCCCAACTGTGAAGGGCAAGGGCCCAGGCACTCAACTTCACAACTGGGCTTGGGCGCAAGCATTCGGGCTTGACCGGAAACTACTTGAGGTTTCCCAGCCAGGCCACACGCAGCCAAACAGAGGCTGCCACTTCCATATAGGGAAGGAGGCAGCCAGGGCAGGCATTCTTGCCCACACAGGCATTATGGTCGCACTGTTGCGTTGCTGCGCGATAGGCTGCATGCTGCATTAGCGGCCAGGGCACGTGCGGGCGCTTGAGAGGTGAGAGGGATGCTGCTGGGCAGCGGTGTGCAGGCAGCCGTAGCCGGGCTGCAGGGCGTTTGGGGGTAAGAGGCGACCAGTGGTCTTAAGGAAGGAGGCGAGTATGGGTGGTCAGGGTCTGATGAGGCGAGACGAGATACATACTGGGTGCATGAGGGAGGACGACTATGGTGTTGATGTTATGTACATTGGTCTTCAAAGTCGAAGTAAACCTGTTGGGTGAATGCGGATGCAGTAGGATAGGCAAGTAGTTTAAGTTGGGCGCTGGGCGCTAGACAGAGAGGAGCGACATTGGATACTGTGTTGGTGTGGCGTGACGGCGTGAACATTGGCTCATGAGTTCATTGTATTGCTCTGATTTGGATGGAATCTCTGTGCATTTGTGCTCTCTGTTTGTACACAATTACTTGGACATCTGTGTGATTTCGCAACTTGGCTTTCTGTATTTCGTTGTCACTCGTATTCCTTGCAGTTTGGTATCATAGCTGGTTCATGATCGCCATTACCTGGCGCCGGCGACATTGTTACTGGTGAGCTCACGATGCTTCTGTGCAGTGAGGATACTTTGGCGCTGGCTTGTTAATGCGGGACCCGTGTAGAGGGGTTCACCGCTGGAAGGCTGCCACAACGTGGGAGCTGTGGCGACAACGGATGTATGTATGATGATGAGAGCATGCTGATGTGGCATTTGGGCTGAGGTGGCACTGTATCTCGTTGTGGGTGGTACCGAAGCTATGATCGATCATCGAAATGCACGTCGGCTCAATTGGTAAGAAATTTGTGGTTGGGGGCAACAATCTCCACGTAAATTGTTTCCTTACCTTATCTAGCCTTTCAATCTCTTCTTACTGTGAGGAAGTGAGTCCAACCTTGAGTGTCCACTCTTTTGTTGTAGGAGTCGTGAGCGGTCTACCTTGAGAGACTACATTTTTCCCGGTGGCACACTTGGCAGGAGAGGGCGGTATGGCTCTGAAGGGCCCTGGTCGAAGCATGGGTCATGGTCACCATGCCAACCCATGGGAGTAGTACACGCGTGCCATGTTGCTTTGTCCTTTGAAGCCTCTTTGCTGCGTTGTTAGAAGGGGTGTGCGGACTGACCAGTCCTATGTAGACGTTGTCCAGACCGTCTATAAGTATTTGTGGCAGGGGTTTGAACTGTGCACTTGATGTGATCGTCGTCTTGTCTGTCATGTTAAATAATTCATGAGGACCTTGGGGACTGTCCTTAAATTGCCTCTTGTTCAGACATATCAGTTAGACGTAAGGCTCGTCGTGAGGATAAATAACGGGGAGTTCTGGCTATAAGCATACGCCTTGGGCACAGGGGTGGGCCGTTAATGCACACCTTCGACACTGGTGCTTGATGATGGCTACATGCAAGTTGGATACTGGGAGGAAGATTGCAATTGAGACTCGACTCTACATCACAACCATTTCCATTGTGCATACATCTACATAGTTTATTTTGATTAGTTGATTGACTTATTGCTAACACCTCACAGCCAACGTAGACTAGGATTGATATGTTCTACCATAGTCAACTCTTTTCAAAGGTTATGTAAGTGAATTAATCAAGGTAGATCTAGATTATGTGTACAACCTGTGCAAATGTTGTTGATACCTCTTGAACGGTAGCCTAGCTGACTTGCTGGATATAATTTTTATTTTTATTTACTTTTAGAACAAGTCAGACGTATGCTGCGGTAGGTTCCAGAGAACACTAGTGCAGATAACATCTGCCTAGTCGATGAGTGGATCAGAAGGTGGTGAAGATACAGATGACGATAGAAGGCAGACAAGGCATGATACACATAGGATATTTGTAGTGTTGTAGGTTTTACTACCAGGAGACGAAAGAAGGTTAAGGGTTTGAGCAAGGGCCCGTAATCTTGAGACTGCAAGGGAAGCAACAACAATTGTAGAAAGGACGTTAGCAGCAGCAGCAACTAGCGTGGTAGCAATGGCTACCTCTGCAGCGTCGTCTGCGGCATCCTCGTCTGGTCAGTCGTTCGGAACGCCGGACACCAATGAGCAGTCCATCTCCTGTTCGTTAGGATCCGGAACCAGTCAGATGGTGGGCTTGCAGTTCAGCTCGCCACCTACACTCACCAGGGAGCAGATGGAGCTCCCGCAGGTAGAGAGGATCCACTTACGGGGGGAGAAGGAACTTAAGGAGGCTATCGAAAGAGAAAATTAGATTAGAAATAGAAGTGTCAGACTCGAGGAAAGAGAGGCAGACAAAGCTGCCTTAGAGGGATTAGATGACTCGACGCTTGACACCAACACAGATTCTTAAGGCGAGCATCATGTCAAAGATTCTCAAGGCGAGCATCATGTCCATGCACGCTTGTACATGGACAACAAACTGGACGCTATTTTGGACACCCTAGACCAGATCCCTCACGCCATCCACATGCCAGGTTTCAGGCCAATAGTTTTGCCATCGCTGCCATGGTCGCGATGACAGACGTGTATCCACCTCAGTGTGGCACCACACCAAGAGGTACTTCAGCAGCGGCAACACAGACTGTTGCTTCTACATGGTCCAGCGGCTGGAGCTACACCACAACCGCCAACTGCCCCACCAGCGCGACAACAACCTTGGCATCCCCAAGACCCCATTGAAACCACCCTCAACCTTCCTAGGGGATAAGAAGGATGAGGCTCTCGACACTTGGTTGAGAACAGTGTTAGTGTGGGTGAGGGTGAAGAGGACGTTGGTAGAGGAGGAAGTGATAATTGTCGCATCCTATGTAGAGGGTTCCGTTGCTCAGTGGCTAAATGGATTGGTTGCCTGAAGGGGATTCCGGAGGAACTTCGGTTTTTGGGTCAAGACCTATACCCTAGAGAGGAATCGCGACGGCACAACCCATAGTAGGCACAAATTGCCACTGATTGGTTGACCCGGCTTGATACAAAGAAGTACAAGTCCGTGCGCGAGCTCACCTGTGTCGTGGAGCGCCTGATTGTTGTCTCGGAGATACACTATGATCCGCAAGTGTTACTGACCATGTTTTTGAGATGTCTTCCCACAGACATCAACAACTTATTAGGCAGTGAGGCTCGGCTAGTGCTCCCAATGTTCCAAAGTCGTGAACGAAGCATAGAGCTCGCGCATGTAGGTGGAAGTAGCTACCTTTTCGCTAGACATGTGTTTGCGGTAGTACTCAAGCAACCGCAAGCCATCGCCGTCGTCTTGTTGCAACACTGCACTAATCCCATATTGACTCGCCTTTGTAGTAACTACGAATCTGAAATGCGGAGTACATGGTGACTGACCAAGGCGTCTTTCAAGGCTTGAAATGGGGTTTCACATGTTTTATCCCATGTGTAAGATACGTTCTTGCTTGTTAATTGGGACAATGGGCGAGCAACAATAGAGAATCGAGACACAAACTTTCGATAGTACGATGCGAGACCAAGGAAAGAATGCAATTCGCAGATGTTCATGGGTTGAGGGCCTTGAGGCTAGTCGCGTATGACCTCAACCTTGGGGCCCTCAGGCTTTATGCGTGCAATAAACAACCGATGCCCAAGATAGATGACGCTATCGCTCCCAAACTCAGATTTCTCTAAGTTGAGATTGAGTTTTGTCTTTTTTGAGGATGGTGAACACTTCCTCAAGGTGCTTCATATGTTCCTCGATGGATGTGCTGAAGATCAGAATATCATCAAGATACACCACCACAAACCGACCAATCTGTTCGTGGAGGACCTTGTCCATAAGGCTTTGAAAGGTGGCCGGTGCGTTCGTGAGACTGAAGGGCATTACGGGAAACTCGTAAAGCCCATCGCGTGTCTTGAACGCAGTCTTGGGCTGGTCCTCATGATCGACTTCAATCTGGTGGTATCTAGACTTGAGGTCGATGTTGGAGAAGACCTTGCACCCACCTGCAACATCAAGCAAATCATCTATGTGTGGCAATGGGTATGCATTATTTCTCGTGATGCGGTTTAGACCAGGATAATTAATGCATACGCGGAGTTTGCCTCCTTTCTTTGGGACAAACAAAACAAGTGCACCAAATTCAGATTCGCCAGGCTTAATCCATCCGTTGTTGATCATCTCGTCGATTTGTTTCCGGAGTTAGTCCAACTCGCAGGATCCCATTCGGTATACACAACCCTCTGGAGGGGCAACACCTTCCACCAACTCGATCGTGTGTCGGACCGATCGCGTGGGAACTCCACGTGGTTTTGCTTGAACTTCGGGGAATCGGTCGAGTAGGTTTTGAATGCTTGTTGGGACCGGTGGGGGCGAAGGATCAACAAAAGGATCACCTAGATCAGGTCGCAGATTACGAATGGAGACGACCGAATCTGAAGTAGAGTCATTTGGACTAGGGGTAGGTAGAGA